TTGGGTGCCCATGGCAGGGCTGTTGCTCTCTCTGTGCTGCTGCATGACAGGATGGTGCAGCCTGGGTGAGCCACGAGCTCCATCAGCTCCTCAGAGAGTATTCCTCATGCCATGAATTAGCCATAGGATTGTGTGTGCATATTTGTAAGAAATCAGGCCTGAGATGATACTTACAACTAAATTATTTTTTTGTGGTTGCTGGATTTCCTTTAGGAGGCAGGAGGGGAATCAAAGGAAGAAAATGTTTCCCTGGTACTAGCAAGAAAGATCTTGAGCATCTGACTTGGACTCTCGAGGTGACCTCATTGTCCGCCTGCTGCTCCCAGGAGCAGATGCTGAGCTCGGGACACATGCCTGTGTGCCATGCAATGGCCTGCTGGACTGCTGTCCCCTAATGCCTATGTGTCACTGAGCAGCTCCAGCCCATTGCCACGGCCAGGCAGTGGAGGAGAGAAGTCACCCCTGAAGGCCAGAGAGAGATGAGATGTGGCAGTGAGAAAGAAAGCTGCGAATGGGTCTGATGGCCCATGGCACCTCCACTCACGGGCTTCAGAAAAAATCAGAAATCTCTGATGTCCTCATTTCCTTCCACAATGCAACACCATGATTTATTTTGGTGGCACACTCATCTCTGTGAAGTAAGCCCCCAGTGCCACAGAACTGCAGGAAGACCCTAGGTGCAAGGTTCAAAAGCGTCTGCCTAATGTGTGGCTAATGCCTGAACCCCAGTTTAAGGCTCTAAGTCTCGTGCTTCCTCGCAAGTTTAGTCATCCTTGTCACTGCTCCTCAGGGTTTGCATATGCAAACCTGCGAGCAGCCACTGAGGTTGATATTTGGATAGGTGGTTTGAAGAAGTGGAAATCTGCTGATGAATCTATGGGGAGAGTTATTTGCATAGGATTTGTGCCTATGCAGAGAGAGAGATTACTGACATTTGTAGTTTGTAAGTACAGTAATTAAATAATGATGATATGTTTAATTGAGGCTCAGGTTTACTCCTTGGGAATGGAAAATGTTGATGAATTGTCAGAGGCTTTTCCTCCCTCCCCAAGAATGAAGATTTTTTTTTATGTCTGTCCCTGTGTGATTAAGATTTTAAACTAAATGTGACAAGCTAAATATGTGTTTTTTGTGGGTTGCTATGCAAAGTCAGCCATCCTTGTGTATGGTGTCTTTCCTCCCCACAGGTGTCTGGACACAGAGACCATACCTCCTGTTCCTTGTGGAGCTTGCAGAGGTATCACAAAGCCTGGACTGCCAGAGAAAGGGGAAAAATAAAAATAAAAATAAAAAAAATAAAATAATTAATTAAAGGTGAAGAAAGGAAAAGAAGTCATATTCATTCAGAAAAGACGAAAGCTATAGATCCACATCTCAATCGAGGCAGGTTTTCCTGCCCCATTTCACTGTCCTTCAAACACTACAGTCCCAGCATCCATATAGGCCTGGTGTCCATCCAAGCTACTTAAACTTAATAGTTACTTAATAGCTACTTAAATAGTTTTGGACTTTCTGATGGGCTTTTTTTATTATTATTTCTTCCCAAAACAGAGGTATTACTAGGTCCTTAGCGAGAGGACCAAAGGCATACATGTGTTGTACACCTGCCAAGATTGTCCTTGCCCCCTCACTGGCTCAGCTGTGAAGTCCCTGAGGCCCACAACACTAACAAGCAGCAGCATGGGACAGGCTTGACAATCTGCCACTGCCATGCTGCTGGTACCAGCCAGCTTTCTCCTTGAACTGTGGAATTTTTGCGTAAAAAAGATTTCTCACTGTTTTTCCTTGGCATTGGTAATAGACAGGTGAAGAACCGTGGTCTGCTTTTTGACATTTTGTCATATCTACAGCTTTCTCTCACCAGTCATAATCTTCCTGCTCTCTGCAAATAGCCTCTTCAAAATAGCAGGTATGCCCTTTGTTGGGGGTGAAGCTGGTGCAGCTGTCCAAGGGCTTAACTAGTTATCTCCTACACTTTCAGAGGGGAATTCATTGCCTTAAACAAAGCAGTCAGAAATCCCCAGAGGAGCAGAGCCCTTGCTCCTCGACTGCTGCAAAGATCTCTTCATGTCTTGAAGACCAAAGCAGAACAAAACAGGCAGTATGGTATAAACAGCAATATCCCTGAGATTTACCTTTTAGTTTTCAAAATTGCTGTTGAATACCATACAGAAGGTGTTATTTTAGCAACTGCATTTTTTTTTAATTATCACTGGAAATCAGACAACAGAGAAACTTCAGATTTCCTGAGAAATGTCAGGTGGACAACTATGATTGATTACTGTGTTTGTTTGATTAGTATCTGGGCATGGGATAGCAGGTCAGGGAAAAGCCAGTCTAGTGTTACTGCTCTGCAGTCATTAGCGTGGCAGGCATGGAGCAGGAGCAGTAGAAGTCAAGAAAGGACCAGGGGAAGAGTGCAAGTGTTGTATACTCAGAGGGCAAGCAAAGAAGAACAGGTTATCGCAACATGAAGCAATATGAAGAAGTTGGAGGCCAGCACTGTTTGACACAGAGCAGGATTCTTGTCTACATCTCCCATTCTGTGCCTTATGACTTTTGCTGAAATTGTAAAAATACCATTTAGCTTAAAGTAGCTTATATGTTCATTCCCCACAGTTTGTAGAAAAATAGGCCTGAGAGACATAGATCTGGTTCCTTTCTTTGCCAGCTATGGATTATATCTGCTCAAATCATTCCAGGCATCAATACCAACACTGAAGATGTTCCAGACATCTTGCATTTAAGAAGAGTACATATCCTGGATGTATGAACATGAACTGAGCATACTGAATAATTTATCCAGAAAAAATCAAGTGCAGCTGTAAGGGGACGAAAGCAGGGCCTCACTTAAAGTTGACAGCAAGAACATTTTCATTATCATTGTTGGAAACATAGAGTCAGTTCCTCAGACTCCAAAAGAACCAGCTTCCATGGTGTAGATGTTTAGGTAGCAAACTAGAGTTAGCAAATGCTCATGTTCATATGTACTAGAGTCTTAAAAGAGAATGTCTCATCCTGCTTGTGTTCAAAGAACCAGGTCCTTCTGGACAGTACACCCTAAATCAAAAAAAAAAAAAGCAGGTAAGAGGACATTCATATTCAGTGTTGCTTGTTGATGGTGGATCAGCTGCCTTTGGTATCCCACGAACTAGCAGTTCTGAGCAGAACTGCAAGCAAGTTGGAGGAGACAGTGTCTCCCAGAGTCTATCAAAGCCAATGCAGTATATGACATGAAAGACATTTGCTCTGAATTTGGGGATGATTGCCCTATGAAACATTTCAGCAGCCCTGCAAACATCTCTGTAGTCCTGCAATACAAAGGATTCCTTCTTCAAGTGAGATGCTCATCTGCAATTTTGAAGATGGGTAGTAGCCACGGACCAAGCTACACTGTACAAAAGTTTTTTAAAAATGCCTTACCTGGCTCTTCCTATGTAAGGGATACTTTTGTACATCCTCATTTATCCGATATGCCCCTTGCTTGCTGTTGCCTGCTGTCCTGCCTTTGCCACTGGTGTCACTGACCCTGATGGTGGCAGCAACCGATCTCCCCATGCATGTCACAGAAAAGTGGCCAGATGCTTAACAATCACTTATGCATGTGCTTAATTGGAAGGTAAAACAGTCAGGAGGCTACATGAAGACCCACCTGAAGACAAGGCCATGCAGAGCAGAACTCAGTAAGAGGAAGGGCAGCGTTAAGGCCTCGAGACAATATGTGTTGCCTTTGATGAGTGGACATTTTGGAGTAGACAACAAAAGCGGTGAGATTAAGTAAGAGTGTTATAAAACTATGTTAGAGGATCTGCTCTGTGGTCATACTGTTGGGCTAAATATCATGTCAATAATAGTTTGTACTGCTGGCTGGGGTACTTCCACTGTTCTTGGGACAGCTCTAGATGCTGTCTGCAAATATTAGACTCACATTTTCTGCTTATAAAACACTGATATTGCCTGTCAGACATGTTATTACCTAAATCTGTTATTACCTAAACCTGATACAGTCAAAAAGAGTTCCACTGAGTAAAGAGAGGGAGAAACATGAGTTTGCATTGTGTATGCACCTGGTCCATTTATGCATCAATCTTATTCTTATCTCCAAACTAACGTTAATCCAGAAATACAGTTAGCATAATGGAAATGCTTTATAAGGGTGGTGGTATATTACTGCACCATTAAACTTCAGGAGATCACTGAAGGCACTAAATACTGGTCTTGTGTAAGCTCCCACTTTATTCACCTACGAAGAGTGATCTCTCCCTTTCTGTACTGACACTGGGCTTCAGCTGAGTAAGCATCTGTGTTAGGCCTGTGTCTGATTTACTTAGTTTTACAGTCAATAGAGAGAAATAGGCAGCTCTAGGTCATGATTCACCTCATCCAAATGTAGGCATCAAGAATAATTAGATGAATCACACTCCAAACTGCTTATTCCTCTCCACTATAAAGGGAAATTATGAGGGGAGAATGAAGTAATAAGCTTATATATAGACACCTACCCTCACAGCATCTCCAGTGAGGTAAGATGAACCCCACCTACATGTCTAAGACAGGTGGGAAGAATTTCCCTCTGGAGGGTCTTATTCCTCTTCAATAATTATGAAAAAAGCCAAAGGCAGGAACTTACCTTAGACTAGATTAATCCCATCCTGAATCTTTATCTGCCCCAATAAGCATTTTTTTCTTTTCTTGACAGAACTGCTGGCCATTCTCCAAAACTGGTATCAAGAATTTAGGCAAAAAACAATGCAAAAACATTTCTAAGAAGTTACACATTTTATTTTTCAAGCACTCATTTTAAGATGTTTAAGTTTTATTTTTGGTTATTGATTTGTAATTACAAAACACAGAATAAATAAGTTCTCTTTTGGTGTGGGTAGGATTAAAGCAAGCTCTAATGTCAGAGAAGTTGTGTCTGGTTGGTCATGCATGCATTTGACATATTTCTCCATAGTTTTTTCAAGGTATGGAGTTCTTCTACTTCAGATTCTTGTTGTCTAGACTTTGAGGAGTGAAAGAATAGCCTGATGGATGTTGTCTCCCGTCACAACATAAAGTAGTAAGTTAGCAAATGTATTTAATGCTGCTAAAGGTTTAGCTAGAACAAACATAAAACAGATCAGATTCTTCAAGTGGCAGCTACCTGGTCGCAGTCGGAGCTCAATCCGAAGCCCCCGAAAGATGTGGAAGGGGAGGAAGCACACATAGAAGACCACCAAGAGCACGATGGCAAGTCTGCGGGCCTTCTTTTTGTAGCAAGCCTGCGTGTGGGGCCCTGTAGCCAAGGCATAGATAATGAGCGCGTAGCACAGCGTCACCGTCAGCAAGGGCAAGAAGAAGGCAAACGTCGTCAGGAGCCAGTTGTACCATCGGCTGCTATCAAGGTCCTCAGCACTCGCCAGGTCGGGGCAGATCGTTCTGTTCTGCAGGTCTTTTGTGGTGATCAAGATGCCCAACGGGCTGATGGCTACCAAGGAAATCATCCAGACTACTACGCAAGTCACCACTGCCCATTTCCGTTTTCGAACAAAAAAACATCTAACTGGGTAGATGACCACAAAAAAGCGGAAGAGGCTGAAGCAGCTAATGAAGATAATACCATTGTACATGTTGAAGTAGAAGGCAAAGTGAATAAACTTGCACATGAAGTCTCCAAAAATCCAGTTATTTCCATTAGCAAAGTAATGTATAAAGAAAGGAAGTGTGGCTATATATAAAAGGTCTGTGATAGCCAGGTTTAACATAATGATGGTGCTGTTTTTCCAGGGCCTCATCTTGAAAAAGTACATAAAAATTGTCATAACATTTCCTGGGAAGCACACCAGAAAGATTAGGCTGTAAAGGACAGAGAGATAGGATTTCAACTGTAAGAAATCCTCATCCTCGCAACTTGCGTAAGGGTCTGCATGGCCTGGCTGAGTAGTAAAATTGGCTTTGTATTCAGATGTCATGCTTGTAGTAATCTTCTTAAAGCTTTAGAAAAATCAAATATTTAGTTTTAATTGATTTGCCAGGACAAATGCATTCAATTAAAACTTTATTTTTTCCACTGGAAAAAATGTCATATTTGTCTTGTTTGGCAAAGCATGGTAGGGAAGAGAAAGAGGTTCACTAACATACCTGGCTAACGTATCTGGGTTTGGCCTAAATACTTTTCACTCAAATGCTTAATTTCACACTTCCCTCCTCTCTGTGTATATCCTCACTTTTTTTTTTAACCTTATATTGAAGCAATTACAACTTATTTGTAAATGTGCAGGAGTGGGAAGCAGGTTTAGGGATCTAGAGAGTGTTTTGGCTTAGATTTTGCAAAACCTTGCAAAATAGCCTTAGCCTTTCAGAAATTAGACCTGCACCCATACTTTAATTTCATTTACCTAGCTAATCAGTGCTTTGAACTCATGAAACCAGAGATGTTGTTCTGGTTTTATGTAGACGAAAAGATGATGAGTTCAGATGCAGGTCTCAGGACCTGATGCCCCAATAACTTGCCAGTTCTGGTTCATTCCCTGAATGTGATCTAATTATCTTAAAGTCAACAGAGTATAAAACTGGCATAAATGCATTTAAAAACAAACAAGCTTGACAGTAGCATAAAACTGATTTAAATGATTAAAGACTCTGTTTCTCAAAGCACAGAGCAGTGGTGGAAAGCACAGATCCTGGGTAAAGGCACTGATCTTGCTTCCCATTTCTCGACAATTGGTGCTAGAGAGCCTCATCTCTGAAATGACTTCTCACCTGCCATGGCCAATTTGGATCACGCCACCATGAATGCAAGACATAGGATTTCTTGGTAGTGTTTTAACTTGAAAGAGTGGTAACCAAGGATGAAATTCATCTAATCTAACTTCAGTTATTAAAAAATTTAAAGTGGAGACAGTCATCCTTAGCCCTCCTTTATAGTCAAGGGAGATATGGAGGGGACAATACATCTTACCATAAGAGAGGCTTCAAAGATAAATGATTTGCTCTTTTGGCATACCTACTTCTCTCCATTGACAATGAAGGCAATCCAAGGTGACTAGCTCATTCTGGATGTCTAGGCTCAAGTGAGGCAAGATGAGAGCCCCTCTGGGTCTTCAGCATCTCAGGTCAGTAGCACTCCTCCTTATCTAGTCCTTATCTGAGAATATATTTTAAATCACAAAGTGCAAGACATGGTAGTATCAAGTCAAAATTCGCAACTCTCAGCCCAGAAAAAAACAATAATTCAAACTAAACCCAGTAATCCCCTGAACTTCCAGGATGAAGCCATTGCATTAAAAAGAAAAAAAAAAGGCGAATGATAGTTGTGGTTAATAATGTGTATAGAACTAGGTTTCGATGTAATCCAATTAACAGAATTTAGCATGTTGTCATTATGGCAATTCCTATATTATACCAATGGCCAATAGAACATGACAGATTTCCTCTCACAAAGCTAGTAATTAAATCTGGAATACAACAAGAAGGCTGTGATCAGAAAGATAGCTATCACTCAATTACTAGAAAGCATTTGAGAGAAAAATTTGAACACTATTCCTATAATTTAGCTAAACAGTAATATTTTTTGACATGAATGTTAGCTCTAGTACAGCCCATAAAGATGTCATAACATTTGTTTTAAACAAATCCAGATTTACATTCAGACAAAAGCTAGGGATGTGCACATTTTCTTTCTTTCCTCCTGCTTGGTGATATCACCATTATCCACATTTGTGTCTCTCCCTGCTATATTTCAGGAAAAGCTAGACAAAATTTTCCAGAGTATTTGATTCATCCCCAGTTTAGTTTCCTTATACAGCTGATCAGTTTTTCACTGCAATCTTGAACCCTCCAAACCGAAATGGAGAAATTTTGCTTACCTGGAAACCTGTAATTCTGCTTCTCCCTTTCATTGCTTTGAGCATAGAGCACTACAAATGAAATCTATTTATGTACTCCTTACAAGTGAAGCCGGTTTTAGTGAGGCTTTGCAATCACATACACTCGCTCCCTAACAGACCGCGCTTCCATGTGGCTGTAAATTCTGTCTCTGACTTAGGTGTGAGCTCTTGGACTTGGGCTGGTGCCCTCAGTCAGTCATGCTCTCTTGCCTTCGGAGGGCAGGTTGCACTCTATCAGAAGCAGTTTTGCCTGCTGCAGGCAGAGTTAGAGCAGTCAAGTAACAGCAGATCACATTTAAATTTGCATGTGAGTGTTTATTAAAAAAAAATAATAAATTTATTCTCAATTTCCTGCAAAGTGAAACCTGATTGGCATACAAACCCAGGGTGTTGCCATTTTCAAGGTCAGGTAAAAAAAAATGTGACATGCTCTTTCTTCACTAAAAGAGTTTCTAACGAAGTTCCATTTTCTGTTCATGGGAGAAATAAGGGTTGCTTTTGGCGTGGCATGATTCAGCTCCTGGCTTTGCAAGCTGGTCCATGCTGCCCTGTGTGCAGCCTTGGTATGTTTTAGAAGTATTTTTTACTGATGAGGCTTACTATTACGTATTAAAAGAACAAGCTTTCCTTTCCTAACATTAGGCAGGTAAGTCTGCTTACCGAGAGTCATACAGATAAGAATATTTTTTAGGGAGACTGTCTTGGTTCTCCTTGAAGGCCAGATCATAGGCATGACTTGGGAGAAAAAAATGCTATTTGTTTTGCTAATTTTGCTGTAGAGAAAGAGCAAAAGAAGTATCTCAAAACTAGGACATCATCTCTCTGTTAGCTTTAGGGAAGAGCACCATCCCTGTTCTTCTCATCTGACCAGGCTTTTCTGTAGGTCAATGTTTAGAGCACTTATAAAAAAAAAGTGAAGTTTTCTCCATAACTATAAAATACATTGTCATGTACCAGCTGAGGGATCAGCAACTATTTAAATAGCTATTACCCTATTCCTAGTCACTGCATGTATCATTAGAAATCATCTGTATGAGGCTATAGCATTATAAGCACAGAGGGAGGTAATTATAGTTAGAGATCATTTAATGTGACCACTATTTATTCCATTACATGCCTGAGCAACAGCAAAGCTGTGGAGCAGCATCAGCTGGTATTTATTCTACCTTGTAGGTGGCAAGACATGAAGCAGAAATGGGCCGTCCTGGTACGGTGCCCCAGAATAGCCATGATCTCTATGGATTGAGGCTACTTCTCCAGTGTCACTTTAAATTCCTCAATATTTTATTCTACCAACAATTTCCCCACATCATCTCCACGGACCTTCTCGGTCTGCCATAGGCAGAGCAGCTTGATTCTTACCTCAGACATGTCCTTTTTGTGCTCTGAAGCTCTCCTCACTCACGTTAGCCTCTCCCTCTGCCCTCCAGGAGCAGTGAAGAGAAATCAAAACAGCTCTTAGTTTCATAGCAGGCTTAAGCAGCTCTAATTGCAGCTGCTATCAGAAAAGCTGGCATCACCAAAGCCTGCAGAGCTCATGTGTGTCATCTTTGCTCCCTGTATAGCAATGAAACAGGGACAACTTGGTAGCAGGACAACTAATTATTTAATTATTTCGTCTTCACAACTTCCTCCTCCAGGGTTGATCAGCCACCACAGACTGCGTGGTGCAAACGGGAGCACGTCTCCATACTGCGCTGTGCATCCTCTCACGGTGGGGTGAAGTGAGTGGAGTCTGTAGGAAAACAGATAGTTTGTGTGGGATCGCGCTGGGCTCCAGAGTGTGGAGTGCTTTCATTATAGGTTTTACTTTTTGTTTCAACAAATGTATAATCTTTCCATGGGCTATTTCCCTTAGCAGGCACATATTTGTTTGGCTGGTCTTAGTGTGCGTGTGTGATTGAATACCTAATTACTGTCTTTATCGGGCCACCTTCAAGAGATGCTCTGTTTTGCTGATAATGATACTGTGTGTCTTCGTCACGCAGGGAAAACAGCCCCTCTGCTCCCTCCTTATTTTTCCACTGAGTCAGACTGGTAAGGACAGCATTTTTTAATTCCTGAATGCATGGTGACTATAAATTAATCACTGTTAAATGCTGCCATCCAATTACATAGATAGTAGAGATTGTTAATGAAACCTTCAGCAAAGGAATATTTCACTTTTGGAAAATTGGATTTATAATCCAGGATGTAAGTGGTGCTGTCACATCTGCTGTGCAGAAGTAGTTCGATACATTTCCCAAAATAGCCTGTATGGATCTGAGGTACTATCTTATGGCTAATATTAGTCCTCCAACTGAATTGGTGCTCAGACGCTGCAGGGTGCTGAAGACAAAATCTACTGAAACCCTTCGATAAGCACTTGACTTTCAGAAGGTAAGTTGCCCCATGGGGAGAAGAGCAGGAAGGGCAGTGAAGGAATGTGCTTGCTTAAAGATATCTTAAAGCTCAAAGCTCAGGACATGGACAACCATGCTAGTATATTCTCCATAAACAGGTGAATAAAAATGCTGCAGGAGCACCCAGCTATGAAGTGGCCTTACACACAGCATTTGTGCTGGTTGAAGTTTTCCCAATAGATACTAAAAGCCAAAGTAAACTCATAAGAGATTTGACAACAGTTGTAATGGCTTTAGGTAATGGGGCATTTCCTGAAAATGGCCCAGCTTAGTGGGTCTGAAAGCAGAGAGGAAAGCTTTGCTGCTTTGTTTTTTAATTCAACGAGGAAGCAGTCTCCAAACTCTTGTGAGCTGGTACATCCCCGACTTCTGGCAATATGTCCTTATGGGATTTAGCAAAGGGAGCTGCTAACATGACCTTGAGTGTTCAAGGGACTTTTTAGTCACTGGAGAAAAATGTTGTGTTGCTGTAGTATTGCTTCTGCAGGGAGCTATGGCAGGCGGGGGAAAAACTGGCCTTTGCCTTATGCCACTCTGTAAAGCTTTATTGTCAGAAAGCAACTTTTATCGTCATAGACTTCTATATCTAAGTTTAACATCTTCTGCCCAAAATGAATTTCTATGTTAGCCCAGTACTCTTCCTTCAGCTTACATGAGCTCTCAGCCAATGTGTGACTCTTG